TCAGGTTAAGCTTTGTGTTGCTGTTCTTTTGCATAACCTAAAGTAAATAAGGAAAACCAGCTGTTAAATGGTTTAATTCCACTATTTATCCTCCACACAACTAAAAGGGACCTCTCAATACAGTGCTAAATCAGACAAATCATTTCTAACAATATAGCCTTGAGCTGTAGCTGGGCAGAGTTGCACAACAATCTCATCTGTCATTGAGACATTTCTATAAGCATGGGGAGGAGGTGGATGAAAGGAAATGTAAAATATAGGTAGAGTGGTATAGGTCTCATCACTGGCTGATAATGGTCTATATTAATGCCACTGTTGACTGCTGTTCACTTTACATGGTTCAAATGCTATTCTGTTATAGTTTATTAAATATTTTATTACACTATTTGGTTCAGAATATATTTTCCCTGTGTTCCTCCTCTAAAAATTAGGTGCGTCTGAAGGTCAGGTGCGTCTTATGGAGCAAAAAATACAGTAATTGTCTGGAAGCATTTTCAACAGTATACAACAAATGCTTATATTGTTGAGTAAAGGTGCTCAAGCATGGGCAGAACTTGGGCCACCTCTCCAATGGTAGCATGTTCGGTTGCTTGTGGGGGCAAGTTGCTTCCTTACTGTGAAGGGTAAGAGTCATTAGAGGGCAAAGGTTGAGCCAGCAGCCCAGAGATGCAGGGAGGTAGACGGGCAAATAGGAAGAGGTGGGAGGCATCAAATGCCAGGCCAAATTTCAAGGAGTTTGGAGGGGTGCTGGAAAAGGCCTTCTGCAAGTGCAAAAATGCTGGCATTACTCATCTAGGGGAGATGTAGCTCTGGAAGACCAGATATTGTCTCAGGTGGAGAACACTGGTTTCCACAGGTTTGTGGCAGAACTAGCACCCCATTACCAACTGCCATTCCAAATCATGGCAGCAAGGGTATCAGTCAATTGGTACAGCAGCAGTTGGCCAGGGCAGAGGTGGTATATATTATGACATCTGGAGCAGCCAGCGTGTGAAACATGCCTCTCTCCCTCAAAGGGGAACATACAAGGCCAATATACTCGAAGTGTGCTCATTCATTCAACTGTGCTTGGCCAAACGTTGCAACCGTTCCGACGCACTGCAGAATGTCTGCTGTTCCAATCTGCCTGCCAGGGTATTTACCCACTCTCCAGTGCAACTCGTCCTCTGCTTCTCCAGTGCTGCTGGCATTTCTTGCTGACATTCCCACTGTTCAGGTTTCAATCTCCATGCCCATTATAATCATTTCCTGATGGTTAGTGTGCATTAAAGATGGGGGTATTTGTATATCCCCGCACAGGTGGCGTTAATGAAGGTCCAGCCCCATGGTCCACTCACCAATCCGCCCTGGACGCAGAAGGTGCAATTCTACGAATAGTGCCACAGCACACAATCCGCTCACCACTCTTCAACCTTGCACTGACTCTTGTCCTCCTGCCTACTGCCAGGAGAAGTGAGCGGGATTGCGCGCTACAGAGCCATTCATAGAATTGCACTGTCTGTGTCAGATTGGTGAGTGGACCGTCTGGCCCCATGGGGCTGGGACCTTGCTAACACTACTTGTGCTGGGATATTTGTATTCATTTACGAATACTCCCATCTCTAGTGTGCACTCTTTTTATTTGGCACAATCGCTGGGAAGGTGCCAGAGGACACAGGGAAATCATTTAAAATGCTTTGCCTATTTGAGGTTTTTTAAAAGGGGTAAATAATGCCTATATAGTAGTTGTGCTGACTTTAATGGAATTCCAAATGCTGAATTTTTAAAATTTTAAATCTGAAGGGGTGTAATTCCAAATTGCAAATTTAAATGTTGAATCTGATTTTTGATGCAAGTGAACATTCCTACTGCAAACTACACAAAGAAAATTTACTCATGGTCAGCTGGCAATGTAAATTGTAGGGACCCCTTCAAATCTGAGTTCACAATGTGGGTAGCCCTCACTACACCAGGGTCCCAATTTGAATTGGGCCCCCTGCACTTACTTTACAGGAGCACAGAGATTTAGATGTTATCCAAGTATTTAAAATAAAGTGCAATCTTGCCTTCAGTATGCTACCTTTTTAAATAGAAACTCCAGTTCTGATTTGGAGGAGAATAAATCCCAGTATGCTGCAATGTTGCAGTTGGCCAAGATACTGCTATAATAAGCTGTATGGTAAGAAAGTGAAACGTGTGAGGAAGGAGGAGGTGGAGCATTCAAACCTAAAGCCTAACTTCTAGGCCACATATTTGTAAGCGGTCAAGAATTAGGGGCTGATATGGACTGAAATTTATGGTGATTTACAATTTTAAAAAAAACTTTTAAAATGATGTACAGATGGTACTTGACACCAAAAAATGGATAAAATAGATGCTGGAAATGATAAGAAAAAGAAGCTTCACTGTATCATATGTGGTGGACATGTAAGATATCAAAAAAATTTCTGGAATTCAGTTTACTTAATAATGGAAAAGATATTGAAATCTAATTTGCAAATTAAACTTGAATTATTTCTGCTAAGCATAACTGACAAATAGTTAGAAAAGAAGAAAGCAATAATTATATTAATAACAGCAACAGCAGGAACTGTCTATATACAATACTAGAAGGTGAAGCAAGTACCAATAGTAGAGGAACGGCTACTCAAAGTCCTTGAAATGGTTGAAATGGCAAAACTTTCAGAGCTTGTAAAAGACAAAGGCCTAGCGGACTTTTAAAAAACATGGAAACCTATATGGGACTATATTTATTAGATAAAGGAAATACTGACCTAGGGATGTGTAATTTTGAATCACAGAATTTCAGATAACAATACGTACAGTTCAGATTCCAATTTTCTTTACTCTTTATTAGTTGTGTAACAAACTCTATGATAATTATTAGCAACTGAAGAATAAATGATTCCAAGAGGAATTGAGAAATGTGTTGCTGTTGTTGTTTAGTCATTAAGTCATGTCCGACTCTTCATGACCCCATGGACCAGAGCACGCCAGGCCCTCCTGTCTTCCACTGCCTTCTGGAAATGTGTGAGTAGATCCAAAGTGTCATACACAAACTGAAGAACCCATACAATTGGTCAACATTCATGAAGCCCTTTTCCTGTTTCCCTCCTCCCTTCCTTCCCTTTTTGGTATTTTTGTTTCTTCCTTTCCCACCCAGTATGTCTTTATTGTATTTGAAACTTAGTAAAATAATTTTTTTTTAAAAGAGAAGAAAAGGAAGAATTAGGGGCTGGACAGTATCAATAAGTAGGAATCCTCAATGCCACCATTTGATACAACCATTTCCTGATACAATGCAGGAAATAAAATTGGTGTAGCTCATTCATGTATTATCACTTGTAGATGGAAATACAGTGGTGCCCCGCATAGCGACAATAATCCGTTCCGGAAAAATCATCACTATGTGGATTCGTCGCTATACAGAACAAAAAAGCCCATAGGAATGCATTAAAACACGTTTAATGCATTCCTATGGGCGAAAAACTCGTTATGCGAAAATCCTCCATACAGCCGCCATTTTTGCTGCCCGGTAAGCGAGGAATGGGTGCGAAAACACAGCGGGCACCCTTTTTTTAAAACCCAGCGGCCATTTTGGAACCGCCGATCAGCTGTTCTAAAAACATCGCTATGCAAAAATCGGTAAGTGAAACAGATTACCAATCATCGCAAAGCGATGTTTTACCATTTAAAACATTGCAATGCAACCGCTTTTGTGATCGCAAAAACTTAATCGCTATGTGGATTCATCGTTAAACAGGGCGCCCGTTATGCGGGGCACCACTGTATGAAATGACAACCTTCATGTACAAACAGATTATTTCAAATTAAACATAGATAAAACTTCACATCACTTGTTATCATCTCACATACAATGTTTTCATGGAACCTACTCATACACACAAGCTACCAGGCAATAAGAGAAAGGTACCTGATATATGTATGACCGAGGCAAGTGAACACGAAAATACACTTTGATTACAAATGTCTCATAGGACACAGCTTATTTAGTAAGAAGGAAGCAAACAATAAATTCCACTTACATCCACTCTGAAGTCTTCAAGGCGCCGGAATTTGCTGAGGTATTCTTGCAATTTGCAGTCAATGTCTAAGTTTTTCGCTTTGGAATATTTTAGAAAGGCCCAGAACTTTTCAAGTCCATAAAGCTGCCCTATAATTATGATGGCCGAAAATATAAGTCAGCTCTCCCCACAAAGGAGTTTCTAAAACTACCATTTAACAACAGAGATGAAAGAAAATGGCCACAACAGTTTAGCTTCAGTAAAAGTTGGAATGACAAACAACTGTTAACCTGTTCAAATATTCAGAATGCTCAAATATTCTGAATGCCACTGGAAAGTGTTCTTCTAGAGCTATACATTCTGCCACCTGTCAAGTATCTTCTGTCTGGTTGCTAATCTCAAAAAAGCAGAGTTCCTAATCAAATCCAGAGAATCCACATATAGCATACTGTTTCCTTTTCAGTAGATACTGCTTCACATGGAGACAGTGATAGGCAGGGTCAAGGTTATAACTCTTTTCTTTGTACATACTTTCACACTGGCCCTTTCTGATTGCTGAACAGGGCCTATGAGCATAAAGTTGAATTACTCTGGCCACATAGGACAAAGGTGGACTAGTATCTTCTGAATACATGTTCAAGATCCCTTATTTATCTTTATCCTACACTTTCTGACAAAACAACTAGGTTGGCTAAAAACAGATGTGCCCACCCAACATACTCATGAAATCTGTCACAGTGGAGTGTATGAAATCCACATATTTTTCTTGAGCACACAGGGCACTTCTGCCAGCACAAGGGGAATGATGTCAGTGGAAGTTTGCCACTAGTTAAAGATTTTCTTTTTTTGATTTTACCTTCGTATGCGACTCGCACACAGTGAGATAAAATCATGTGCACGCTGAAACTGAAAAGGGAAATCTTTAATCAGTAGCAATTTGTTGCTTATATTACATTATTTGGATGTGAAGACACCAGCCACACGTTTTTAGACGGACTGCATGATTACTGATGTAATTTCTTAGAATTCACTAGCACCAGAGAGTAACACATGGAAGCTCTTGCAATATCAACCAGTATGTCTTATCTGCAATCATTACTTACCAGCTTCATAATCTTTTATCGTTTCTTCTTGGAAATCCTTAAATATATCAGGTCGGAATTTCTTCTCCAGCCCATAACTATAATATCTGAAAAGGCACTCTAGTCCGTACCTGTAAGACACCAACTTTTATCATTTGTCTCATATCACATACTATTTCTCACCAAGAGCTCTCCATGCTACTACCTTCTCTCTCTCGATCAAGTCTAAATTATTTACTTTTGTAATGTTTCTTTCAAGAGGCATGAACTGTTCAGATATTTTAAGTTTGACTGATGTTCCCGCATTCTACATTTGCAGCCTGGTGCTAATGCATTAAAGACAAGTAGGCCTACCTGTACCCCTCTTTTGCATCTTCCAAAGACAGTTGCTTGAACTCTTCATACATTTTCTTGTTAAAATGATCACGAAGAAAAAATGACCAAAATCGGAAGAGCGTATTCATCTCCTGGGATTGACCAATGCCCAGTCGCTTCCGCTCTGTTCCAGGAAAAAAATTATACAGCTATTTAAATACTGCATTATGTCCTGAATGGGTGAAGAAGATCACAAAGTCCTCAACTATTGATTTTTAAAAATAGAACAGGCATTTCTTGGTTAAGTGACAGTACCCCCTACACATTGAATACCCAATCTTTTTCAGTATGTGAATATATAAAATCATAACAACCTACTGTGAAGATTTTGCATGGCACTTTACAGACAAAATTGCTCACATCCAGTCTGACTTAGATTCTGTAGTTAGTACAGGTCCTGCTGATGTAACTTTGGCCCTGCTTGTCCTGTGTTAATGGCAAATTTCAGATGTTGCAGACTGAAGATGTGGACAGGAAACTTGAAGAGGTGAAAGCCACCACATGTGTGCTACAACACTACTCTTCCTGACTTACAAAAGCGAGAAAGGGACTGGCTGAGTGGGAGTAATGAACACCTCTTTGCAGTAAAGTACCAGAATTGTCTTAAGGAGGCAGTAGTGAGACCTTTGTTTTAAACAAAACCCTCCTTGAACTCCAATGTATTGGATAATTATTGACCAGTCTCAAATATTCCATTTCTGGGAAAGGTTTTAGAGCATGCGGTGGCATCTCAGCTCCAGATTTCTCATAGAAGCGGAGTATCTAGACCCATTTCAATCTGGTTTCATGTCTCCAGAGCAGAGATGGCGTTGGCTGGCTTAGTGGATGACCTATGTCTGAAACTAGATAGGGGAAGAGTACACCTATTGGTTCTGCAAGACCTCTCAGCGGCTTTCAATACTATCAACTAGAGATTAGCATGAAACGAATCTCAAAAATCTAATGAACCAGGCTGGTTCTTGGTTTGTTTCCAAACTGTGAAATCAGACCCCTTCGTCCAACAGTGGCAGTGTGTTTGACAATGTCACCATGTGGAACTTCGGAGACTTATGTACGAATTCACATCCCTCAGGTTGAGAATTGGATGCTCTAGGACTGTGAAATATTGGGAACAGAACATTAAGAACCAACTAAAAACATGGATGTATAAGCAGGCCTTCCCTTCCAGTTAATTCCTGTCCTCTTTCCTTTTTTCCCCTCTTTATTTGATTTATTTTTATTTTTCCCATCTTATAGAATCATTTAATTAATTAATTATTATAATTTTTTTAGAACTTGTTATCCTTATGTTGTAAGCCGCCTAGAGTGGTCAAAATGACTAGATAGGCGGGGTATAAATACAATAAATAAATAAATAAAAATAAAATGTTATGGCTCAGAAATGAAGGAACCAAAATATAGCTTCCCTCTGAAGTAGCATAGACATTTTCTGCTCTAGTATGGTCAAAGACTGCATGACACAGATGAATCTGGTGGGAGGAAACATGGCATAACTCTGGGTTAACTCTGGGTTACACTGGATAATACCCATTAGTTGACAGTGATGAGGCACTGGGTATCGAGGAAGGGCACCAGGTTGGAATTGTGGGCAGGTTGCATAATAGCCAAGTGGCTGTCAGACTTGGGAGCAAAGGAGTCAAAAACACCTGCTTTGGTTTCTTGTCATGCCATTTAAGTAGAGTTATTTCCTTTTGTTGAAATCAGGAGGTGGAGGGCCTGTTCTGAGGATTGGGAGGAAGCCCAAGACCCATCTACAGGGTACTTATATGGTTGGTAAGATTATAAACATCCTTGAGGCTGTTTAAACTTCCACTGTTGGTGCTGAAAAGAGGAAGAGGACAATTCCATTCTCTTAGCCATATTTCTCTTCTTATACTGCAGTCTTATACAGCGTCCCTGCACTCGGAGGGAGCCGAAGACCATCTACCGGCCACAGCTCACTGTGTGAGAGGCAGTGGGACTGTGAGTGGGCTTCTGCCGGCTGCCAGCTCTTTCTCAAGGGAGCTGGCTCAGTCTCTCTCTGCTGGGCCCTGCTGCTCCTGGCTGCCTCAACCCCCTCTCAACATGAGCCACCTGGCCCAGGGGAGAGAAGGGGCTTTAAAAATATATACAATAAATATATTTACTTATTGTATATTTACAATAAGTAAATATACTTATTGTATATATTTTTTAAACTTATTTTAAACTGTGATTAATTGCCATCAATTAAGAAGAGACCCACAGTTAGGGTTGCCAGATACACGGGTACCAAAAGGAGGACATAGAAAGACAAAAAGGAGGACAAAGGAGGACATATTGAATGTTTCATTTGAATCATTCCAGATTAAA